CCCAAAACCCCAAAACCCCAAAACCCCAAAACCCCAAGGTACAGATATCGTATTGGAATGTAAACTCAATGTGCCATTACTTACTATTTGATGTATATTATAACACAGAAGGTGAATACTAGCAAGATGAGAAGGGCAATTATCCATAACCCACAATTCTTAAAGTTTCTTCTGATAGTTTGCCCGTATTTCTCAACTATTTCAAATTGCGAGGGTTGATCTTCGACTATAAGAGTTAGCCTATTGGTGTATTACCTTTTGCTTCAAAATTTATTTTATGTCCTCTGGTCTCTGGAAGTCTTAGAAGGTCATATTCATGCTTGTAGATCAAGATAGGATCTATTCTGAGGTGAACAAGTTTCTTTTGGATTTCATCCTTTTTGTTAATTGACATTCCGGAGAAGCGATTCACCTATATTTAATGAGGTAAAACTACCTTTTCAAGAGGTGCTAAACTGTCTCCAGAGGTGTTAAGGGCGTTGAAATTGAGCTTCATTGGGGGTATATCTTTGCATATCTCCATTATGGGTTTCTTCTTACTCTTGCTCTTTACAGCTGAACCATAGACTTGACTTCTGACCTTGCCAATATCATTAGGCGATAGTAAGGGATCTTTGATGCTACCTAGAAATTTCATGAAGGGATTTACTTCGTTCTGAGGACTCGCTACTGGTATCTATAGGATTTGAGATGGAAATTTACAGTTAATGCTCCGAGTGCAAATAGATGGTCTTCTCTTCGTATCATTATGAGATCTATCTGAGTCCAGCTTGGAGATATCTAAAGTACTCACACTTAGTGCAAGAGATTTTATGCTAATTTGAAATATTGTAATTGTAAAGACTGTGGTTATTATTTATAGAGGCTAATCGTAAATGAATCTCTACCTTTTGAACCGATATTTGACTCAAGATCTACATCAACACTTTCAAAAGAAGCAGACTTATTTGAGAAGTTTGACCTTGGGATGAATTGGCTGGATAGCAGCAATATTTGGGTTAGTGTGCTCATGATTAGACGTCTTTTTGGGAAGAGCAATACATCCTTCTAGTATATTTTTATGTTCAGGCGAGACCAAGTTCCTGAAAGACTCGATCGCATTCTTATCTTTTTGGAGTTTCCCGTCCTTGAGAACTTTTTGAATGGTAGCGAAGGTTACATTCACCTGTAATTTTTAGGTGAGAATATGCAAAGGAGTGTAAATTTCTTACAAGGATCGTTCCATCGTATCCAAAAGTGTCTGATGTCTATAAAAATTAATAGGTTTCTTCTTAAAATAAAGGATTTCCTTCCTCCTGGAGCATACCTTCGCTTGTGGATCAATTGGGACTTCAAGGTAATTCATTTTCTTGACATCTATTATCTCTATTTCCTTGTTAAGATCTCTGATAGAGTTCATGAGTCCATTTCTGGGAGGCTCCAATTCGATGATGCTGGATTCATGCTTGCTCTGATCGAGTATCTCTTTCATAACTTTCCGGTTTCTAAAATTAATATCTGTAATTGTGTAATAATCTTCTTTTCCAAGGAGTTCTTTAGCATTTTCATTCCAAATTTTCATGATGAGTTTTGTAATGATGAGGAAAAAGTGGGAGTTCTGGAAAAATCCTGATATTCTCATTTCACTTTTTGCTGAGAACGTGAAATCTGGATCATCTTCAAGTTTGAATTGAATTAAGCAGTTGATCCATTTGTCAGAAGAGGTAATTTTAAAGACGAATTCGTCACCATCTTGGAGGACCTTCTCAATAGGTAAGCTTCTGAATTTTTGATCTTCTTCATTGATTTTTGAACCTTTGCGTCCAAATTTGACTGAGACCTATAGAATAAGATATTTTTGGGCTTACTCCATCGTTTCAGGGTTCTCCATTTCTTTTAATCACTTTTAGCTCAGTGGCTTTTAAGCCAAGTAAGTTTTGAAACATGGGATAATGCTGCAGCTGCTGGCCAATTAGGTTAGTGAGGTGGTAGAACGATTCATATGGGCTTATATAGTTATCATCACTCTTCTATCAGTGTAATTCTCTAGACATCCAACCAGGTTAAGCCTTGCATTCCCATGGAGCCCTTCTGCTTCCTTTGCCATAGCATAACTTTCAAAGTCAGAGACACATTTGAGAGAGGGCCTTGGAAAGTTAATACTCTTAGAAGGAAGATTTACATATTTCTCCTCATTATCATCAATCGAAGGTATACCTACAGAAGAGCACGATATTAGTTCTAACTCACTCTGGTTCGAGAGTGAATCCGGGCTCTCTGTCACGAACTTTTCTGGGTCAAATAACAAATCCTTTTCTAAGCTATTGTCAGAGTGACATCTCTTTCCAATGAACATGCTTTGCTTTTGGGTAATTCAATTTATAATATTAAAGATGGGGTTTTGGGGTTTTGGGGTTTTGGGGTTTTGGGGTTTTGGGGTTTTGGGGTTTTGGG